GTAACTAGAACAGTCTAAGCTGTAAGACTGGGTGTATGAGTTCTGTGTAACTAGAACAGGATAAACTGTAAACAGTAAGACTGGGTGTATGAGTTCTGTGTAACTAGAACAGTATAAACTGTAAACAGTAAGACTGGGTGTAGGAGTTCTGTGTAATTAGAACAGGATACACAGTAAACAGTAAGACTGGATGTTTGAGTTCTGTGTAACTAGAACAGTATAAACTGTAAACAGTAAGACTTGGTGTATGAGTTCTGTGTAACTAGAACAGGATACACTGTAAACAGTAAGACTGGGTGTATGAGTTCTGTGTAACTAGAACAGTATAAACTGTAAACAGTAAGACTGGGTGTAGGAGTTCTGTGTAACTAGAACAGTATAAACTGTAAGACTGGGTGTATGAGTTCTGTGTAACTAGAACAGTATACACTGTAAACAATAAGACTGGGTGTATGAGTTCTGTGTAACTAGAACAGTATAAACTGTAAACAGTAAGACTGGATGTAGGAGTTCTGTGTAACTGGAACAGAGCTTACAGTATGTTATTTCACGTTATACCAGCTATAAGAACTACAGCTCTGTTAAAATAAGTAACATTTTAACCCTTTTTATTTAAATGTTCTGGCATATCTATAAACCTTTGTTAAATGCTTTAAACCAACATTAAGTGATAAAAATCCACAGCTCTTACAACCAATACTTAATCTTTGTAAGATCAAAACTAAGTTGTCACCAAAGTTAGAAAATAACCCTACCTTTAACTATACCATTATTTTGGAAGGAGAAGTAACATAACAATAAAACTGATATTGAATAAGGTATACCAAAATAAGATATTCATATCTGAACAATAGGTATATAAATAAACTATACAAAATTTTAACATTTTACTCTTTATAATGGCAGCAATAATCAGCAGGTAATCGAATTATCAGATACATGACAATGACACAGATAGAATGGAATAAACCTCAATATTTTACTATTTACAATGAGAGAAACAAGGACTTAAACCACATCTGAGACGTATTCCTAACAATGTATTTTGAGGGAAACATAAATCATCAGAAAGTAAACTAATTGTGCAGTTCTATAATGATTTAATCACAAACTCACTGCCTCGAAGCATTTAATTAAAAAGTTTTACAATATATACTTACTTCTAGTTTTAAGGCAGTTTTATCATAGGCATTTGGAACTCTGGCCTGTTTAACTCTGGCTAATGCTGGTAATTTCCTCTACAACAGAAATAGATCAGAAGGATATAATCAAGGGTATTCATTGACAATATTTGTTCAGATTCAAAAAAAAAAGATCAAGGGGTTTGTAGTATAAAACTCATTGTTACATACATATTAATAACAAGACTATACATATAATATCTGGCTTTACATAACACAAAATTAACAGCTAACTAACCTAAAACACACGCATTTATTAACAGTAACTTCTAGAACTAAAAAAATAATAACAATAGCAAAGTAAAGTCAAATATATGTCATTAAATGCAAAAAATCATGTACAGTTAAATTATGACTTACAGCTTAAGGCTAAACTAGTATTACAAAAAGTATTTTTATAAAAATATTTTCTATATTTAAAAGGATATAAAAAAAAAGTTTATTAATACTTTTGTAGCGTAAGTGATTTTCCTAATTACGCAACAGAAAAATTTAATAACAGTCTCTAGATGTGATTTTAAAATAAAAAGTAATTTAATTTTGTAAAGTTGTTTTATTTCAGTTGTCCTTTCAACATGAAATACGTGTTCCACCAGTGGTACATGATGGTAGGAGTGGCTTCATTATAGCCGTCCATACAAAATAAATACTTTCATATAGGAGGTGCAGGTATACCTTATGGGTGATGTGTGCCACACGATGTCCAACAGAAAACATGCAAATGTACCACTGGTGGCACAAGATGTCATGAACATGTTATTTATGTTTTGTTTTTTCCTTTTTTTGTAAAGGAAACGTGACTAATTATATCTGGTTAACAATTATTTGTACAATGGCTAGTCAATAGTTTTCTGCAAGTATCTCCCATTAAACTCGATTCTCTCAGTGCTTAAGTATCAACACAAACAGAATGTTAAAAGAAATAAAGGAAACATTGTGAGGCCTAACCACAATCAAACAATAACTTCAACATTTAGAAAGTGTGTTTTGAGTGGGTGAGAACTAAATGTAAATGACCAATTAACCCTAGCTTGGTATAAAAAAAATTAGATATTACTAAACATATATACTAAAGAAACAGTCAACCTGCTTCCACCAGTGGATCTTAACACTCCCTAAACTTAAACTGATAATTATTATTCAAAACTATTCAGTGGGTTACTTGCACTGTGTCCACCATTTTTAGAATTAGAAGCTTACTGCTGAATCATTTCAAAGAAAAGCATACCACAAAGTATAAGTATCTGTTAACATATTTGTATCAATATTAATCTGTCTGAAACAGTTTGTATAGTTGGCTATGTTCTAGAGTCTAAGAAATATTATGTACAAATCATGGTCTCTACCTGTATATTTGGTGTGTTGTATCTGTTGCGCTCTGAAGAAGAGCGAGAAATAGGTAACAACTGACTAGATCCTGATTGAACTGGTGATGATAAACCTTGAGAATTTTGTCCGTCAAGCTGGCTTTCATCATACTGAAACAGAAAGACAAAATTAAACTGTTTCTAAAAATCTTAACAGTGCTTGGCTTCATCAATCAGAAAAACAAATTAATTATTGCACACACGCATACTGTAAAAATGTCAATAGCTAAGTGATTATAAACTCCTCAATCTAACAAGGTTGTGGTTCCTCAGGTGAGTCTCTTGTCAAGCAAAATTACAAAACATCTATCAGAACATGACTAAATTTCCAGTTAAAGTTCTTCCTTAGAATGTGTTTTGTACATGAGTCTAGCAAGGTTAGAGTAAGTGGACAAATGTCAATGGTCTCTCACTGGCTCTTGCTCACGAACGCTTTGTGTTGGAACAGATCAGTCTGAAGTGCACACTGGCTTGTGAGATTAATACATGGAAGTTAATGTACTTTGGTCACATCTCAAGGGTTTTGGTTCCCTTGCTTGATCAAGATGTCGTGTTTAACATGGTTGAGAATTGTGTAAGAGAAAAGCAGAGGATTAGAAGGATCAAACAGTGTATGAAGTTAACAGTGTCTAGACAAAATGTCACATTCGGCATGGTTCTGGGGAGTTCTATAAACAATGAATAGGGTTAACAGCAACTGAGCATGTGTGACTCCTTTCTTCATCCAGCAACGATAGCTAATATATCAATAAAACACAGACTACTGCTGAAACCACTGTTTACAGTGGTGAAGACAGACTACAATATCCTCTATTCAACTGTCTTTAACCTTAACATCGAGCTATTTTCTCACCCGAGTTACCATGACCAGAGAAATAAATTAAAAAGAAGAGCAATCAGAGAGATTGCATACTCTCACCCTGCCACTCGTTTTCGAGATTGCCTGCAAGTTTCACTTTCAAAAATCCTTCTCAGATCCAGAATGATCAACAATCCGAATATTTTTTTGAGGAATCTCAACTTTAATGTGTCCATGAAAGTTGGAACAAATCCAATCACACTTTACAGAATTATTAACCCAAAAATGCCCCATCTCCATATAATAAAACATGCCTCAAAGTGATTCAGAATCCAGATCCGGACCAAATTTGGGGAGGACCGTCCCATCTTTTTGTGTACATTGGTCTATTAGTTTCCGGGATATACGAGCAGAAACACAGACCTGATAACTAGACACAAATTAATATGTTCCTTAGCTTTGAGATGAGCAGAAAAATTTAAAAAACGAGTCTATAAATGAATTGCTTACATACAAGTCTTAATGTGATTGAGCAGGAACAAAATAAATGTTATACAAAGCTAAAATATTATTCATAAAATAATTCTCACTAAAAAATTGTTGAAATATAAATCGAATTATATTTTCCCCTTAAACTGAAAAATGTGATATGTAGGTATGTGATCCAAATCTAATGTGCATATACTGGTCATAATAGGGTTCAATTAATTTTAACTATTGTAGGATTGGAGTGTGACTGCTACAGGCAACATTTACTTTACAGGCAACATTTACTTTGGGTTGGTGAAGATTGTACTAATAGCTGCATCACCTTTTCTTTTTTAATTTTATGATGTTAGAAATGAATAGTAGCCAGAGAAACATATACTAAAATATAATATGCATCTGTTTCCTAGCCTTTCACACAACAATATGCTAACTTACTATTTCTACGTATGGCACTGGAATTGAGCCACTTACTATTCCTACGTATGGCACTGGAATAAAACCACTTACTATTTCTACGTATGGCACTGTAATAAAACCACTTACTTTTTCTACGTATAGCACTGGAATTGAGTCACTTACTTTTTCTACGTATGGCACTGGAATTGAGCCACTTACTATTCCTACGAATGGCACTGGAATAAAACCACTTACTATTTCTACGAATGGCACTGGAATAAAACCACTTACTATTTCTACGTATGGCACTGGAATAAAACCACTTACTTTTTCTACGTATGGCACTGGAATTGAGCCACTTACTTTTTCTACGTATGGCACTGGAATTGAGCCACTTACTTTTTCTACATATGGCACTGGAATTGAGCCACTTACTATTTTTACGTATGGCACTGGAATAAAACCACTTACTTTTTCTACATATGGCACTGGAATTGAGCCTGTTAAACCCAAAGAGCTTCTTCCTGTCCACCACTGTTCTTCATCCTTCGATATAATAGTTAAGATTTCTCCCCTTTTGAAAGGTAGGTCATCAGCGTCTCCCTATTGTTATGTAAGAAAACTTCAAAACGTTATTACTTAAACAAATCACTTGGTTATATGCAAACCTTTACAATCTACACATTACTAGAACATAAAGAAACTAACTTGTATTGTCATGCTTTCATCAAACCTTTAATTTGGTTAAAAACTGGATTTAAAAGCTAACAGTTATTCATTATAATATCATGACAGTTCAGAAAACACAAAAATGGTTACAGCTATGTCATATACAGCCATTGAAACACACGTTATAACTACACCCCATTCAGCCATTGAAACACACGTTATAACTACACCTCATTCTGTCACTGAAACACAAGTTTTATAACTACACCACATTCAGCCATTGAAACACATGTTATAACTACACCTCATTCAGCCACTGAAACACAAGTGTTATAACTACATCCCATACAGCCATTGAAACACAAGTGTTACAACTACACCCCATTCAGCCATTGAAACACATGTTATAACTACACCTCATTCAGCTACTGAAACACAAGTGTTATAACTACACCACATTCAGCTATTGAAACACAAGTGTTACAACTACATCCCATTCAGCCATTGAAACACAAGTGTTACAACTACATCCCATTCAGCCATTGAAACACAAGTGTTACAACTACATCCCATTCA